AAATTCAATACCAATACCTTCAGTAACAGAGGTTTCCCGTGCCGACTTTAACCTCTCCCAAATTGATCATTTTGTTGATAGCGCCGTAGGCTCGCTGCGAACAACGCTCGACTCTGTAGCTCCTCTTAAAAAGAAGTTAACAAAGCAAAGAAAGTTTGCTCCTTGGTATAACTCTCAAACCCGTAGGTTAAAACAAATATCGCGAAAATTTGAAAGGAATTGGCGATTAACCAAACTGGAAGAATCTCGTTTAATCTGGACAGACAGTCTCAAAACTTATAAGAGGGGCCTCCGCAATGCCAGAGCAAACTATTACTCAGCATTAATAGAAGAAAACAAGAACAACCCCAGGTTTCTTTTCAGCACTGTAGCCAGGCTGACTGAGAGTCAAAGCTCTATTGAGCCTTGTATTCCTTTAGCCCTTAGCAGTAATGATTTTATGAGCTTTTTTAATGACAAAATTCTAACTATTAGAGGCAAAATTCATGACCTCCTGCCCTCAGATGGTAGGCCTACCTATCTAACCTCAAACACAGCTGTAGAATCTAATATATATTTAGATTGCTTCTCCCCAATTTCTCTTCAAGAATTGACCGCAGTGATTTCTTCATCTAAATCATCAACGTGTCTCTTAGACCCCATCCCAACTAGGCTACTTAAGGAGGTCTTTCCTTTAGTTAACACTCATATATTAGATATGATCAATATATCCCTATTAACAGGCTATGTACCACAGTCTTTTAAGGTAGCTGTAATTAAACCTCTCCTAAAAAAGCCCACCCTGGATCCAGAGGTGTTAGCCAACTATAGACCAATATCTAATCTTCCCTTTATGTCAAAGATCCTTGAGAAAGTAGTCGCAGACCAGCTGTGTGATTTTCTCCAGGATAATAATTTATTTGAGGAATTTCAGTCAGGATTTAGAGTGCATCATAGCACTGAGACAGCTCTAGTTAAAATTACAAATGACCTTCTGATTGCTTCAGACAAAGGACTCGTCTCTGTTCTTGTTTTATTAGATCTTAGTGCGGCGTTTGACACAATTGACCATCAAATTCTACTGCAGAGACTGGATCACTTAATTGGCCTAAAAGGTTCAGCACTAAGCTGGTTTAAATCTTATTTATCTGATCGTTTTCAATTTGTTGACGTTCGTAATGAATCATCCTTACGTACCAAAGTTTGTTTTGGAGTTCCGCAAGGTTCTGTGCTCGGACCAATCCTATTTACTCTATATATGCTTCCTTTAGGTAACATCATTAGAAATCACTCTATAAATTTCCATTGTTATGCGGATGATACACAGTTGTATTTATCGATGAAGCCAGAAGAAAGTAATCAATTAACTAAACTCCATAACTGCCTTAAAGACATAAAAAATTGGATGAGCACCAATTTCCTGATGTTAAATTCAGACAAAACTGAAGTTATTGTTCTTGGCCCCAAACAACTCAGAGACTCTTTATCTGATGACATAGTTTCTCTAGATGGCATTGCTCTGGCCTCTAGCACTACCGTAAGAAACCTCGGAGTAATATTTGATCAAGATTTGTCTTTTAATTCTCATTTAAAGCAAACCTCACGGACTGCATTTTTTCATCTGCGTAATATTGCGAAAATTAGGCCTATCCTGACCCGAAAAGATGCAGAAAAATTGGTCCACGCTTTTGTTACCTCAAGGCTGGATTACTGTAACTCTCTATTATCAGGTAGCTCTAGTAAGTCCTTAAAAACTCTCCAGCTAATTCAGAATGCAGCAGCACGTGTACTAACAGGAACTAAGAAACGAGATCATATTTCTCCTGTTTTAGCTTCTCTGCACTGGCTCCCTGTAAAATCCAGAATTGAATTTAAAATCCTACTGTTAACTTATAAAGCTCTAAATGGTCAAGCTCCGTCATATCTTAGAGAGCTCATAGTGCCATATTATCCCACCAGAACACTGCGCTCTGAGAACGCAGGGTTACTCGTGGTCCCTAAAGTCTCCAAAAGTAGATCAGGAGCCAGAGCCTTCAGCTATCAGGCTCCTCTCCTGTGGAATCATCTTCCTGTTACGGTCCGGGAGGCAGACACCGTCTCCACATTTAAGACTAGACTTAAGACTTTCCTCTTTGATAAAGCTTATAGTTAGGGCTGGCTCAGGCTTGCCCTGTACCAGCCCCTAGTTAGGCTGACTTAGGCCTAGTCTGCCGGAGGACCCCCTATAATACACCGGGCTCCCTCTCTCTCCCTCTCTCTCTCTCTCTCTCTCTCTCTCTCTCTCTCTCTCACTCTCATCCTATTACTGCATCTTGCTAACTCGGCCATTCTGGATGTCACTAACTCGGCTTCTTCTCCGGAGCCTTTGTGCTCCACTGTCTCTCAGATTAACTCATATCGCAGCGGTGCCTGGACAGCGTGACGTGTGTGGTTGTGCTGCTGCCGTGGTCCTGCCAGATGCCTCCTGCTGCTGCTGCCATCATTAGTCATTAGTCATACTTCTACTGTTATTATACACATATGACTATTGTCACACATGTATACTGCCAGATATTAATACATACTTTCAACATATTGTACCACAGTAGCCAGAACTATAACTATAATATTATTACTTTCAATAATGTTGTTGTAAGCTACTGTCATTACCTGCATCTCTCTCTCTCTCTCTCTCTCTCTCTCTCTCTCTCTCTCTCTCTCTGTCTCATTGTGTCATATGGATTACTGTTAATTTATTATGCTGATCTGTTCTGTACGACATCTATTGCACGTCTGTCCGTCCTGGAAGAGGGATCCCTCCTCAGTTGCTCTTCCTGAGGTTTCTACCGTTTTTTTTCCCCGTTAAAGGGGTTTTTTTGGGGAGTTTTTCCTTATCCGCTGCGAGGGTCATAAGGACAGAGGGATGTCGTATGCTGTAAAGCCCTGTGAGGCAAATTGTGATTTGTGATATTGGGCTTTATAAATAAAATTGATTGATTGAATTGAAAATTGAGTTTCAAGGTGGGCACCCAAGATAAGTGTCTCTGACCAAATATCTTCCCTTTTTTTCCTAAAATATAATGTTGAGTAGTGGTCAGAAAAGTGTTTTTGTAGGACATTATGATGTCACAGTGAAGGTGACCTTTGGCTATTTGGATATAAAATGTAATCACTTGTGTGAAATAAAGTAGTGAATGAATTTATGGCCAAAAATATATTTTGTGAAGTCAGTGACCTTGATCTCTGAGCTAATCAGAGCAATCTTGTGTTCATGAGGACAGGGTAAGACACTGTAGAGCAGACTGGACCCTGACCAAATCTGTGCACATGCTAACAGAGGAGAAGTAAATGTTCACAGATCTGGTTATATGAGTAACAGGAAGCAGCAGTTTATGTATCGGAAAGCCCCTCTTAATGTGAGTGTACAGGAATGCTTGTGGGAGTGTCACATACTTGTGAACTGATACTGCTTGATCGTCAGACACTATAAATTGTCATGCTGTAGAAACTCTAGCTTTCTCATGAGTAAACCCTCAAATGCCCACTTCTATGTATTTTAAGTCTCTTTATTCTACAATGTAACTGGCGATAAGGATGGTATTGGTTGTGGAAGCAAGATGCTTGCTGCATCTCTTCACTCTGTGTGAGGAGCACATTAAGAATTAAAGATCAAAAGATCTCTTTATTCCAGATAATAATATCTGTATCACAGTGGCGGCTGCTGGTCTTTCAAGGAGGGGAAGCTCATTTTCGGCCTACATCATAAAATGTGTCCGTTTATTTATACGTAAATTCTACCCTGCTGCGCGAGGCTAGTGTGACCGCCTGTGTGTGCTTTGGGATGGTGGAGGGGCTCACAGCACCCGCTGCTCGCTGGGGACAGTAACTGCAGAGCGACACAAGTCAGAGTCTCCAAACACGAGTGCAGTCTCCATTAACACCAGACAAGATGCTAGATTTGTCGCTAGTCGTTTTTAACAAAGAAAAAGTCACTAAGAGGATTGGAAAAGTCTCCAGATCAACTCGGAACAACGGAATGAAACTTGAAAAATGCTCCGGTCAGACAGATCATCCAATCATCATGCAGAAGCCCAGTGTCCAAAGGCCAGCCGAGGCCAGCCCATCATAGACATATATGCAGCCCACTGCCGGGACAAAACCGAGCATTTATCCAATGACTGTCTAGTTTCGCTGCAGTGGAACAACCCACTCTATGCTTCCCTATTGAAGTCTTTGGACGCTGAGCCTCCACTGTTTAGTGCACTGTGACGCTACGGGAATGAATGAGAAGAAAGTCGCGTCAGTGACCTGTGATCAGTAGCTGATTCTGAGCAAAAGTTGAACGCGTTCTAGCGCACATTTAGTCACTGACATGTAAACACAACAGTACATATTTGACCACTTATTTTTTGACATTTTAGGGGAAGCTGAGCTTCCCTTGCAGTCTTAGAGCAATCCCCACTGCTGTATCATAATAAGAAAATGTAATCATGCCACCGTTGAGTCCAAGTGGACATTTGTGTCAAATCTGAGAAAAAAACAAAACGATAAAGAAATCCTTCAAGGTGTTTTTGAGATATTGCATTCACTAGAATGAGACAGATGAGGTCACCGTGACCTTGACCTTTGACCCATGACCACCAAAAACTTATCAGTTCATTGTGAGTACAATTGGACGTTTGTGTCAAATTTGAAGAAATTCCCTCACCGGGTGCTCAAAATATCATGTCCAAAATGACAGGATAGATGGATAGATGGATGGATGGATGGATGGATTGACAACCCGAAAACGTAATGTCTCTGGCCACGGCTATCGCCAGTGTGGAGCCATAAAAAACACAAGTCCCTCCCAAGGGCTCAAACAATTATTGGATATGCCTCCCCAGTTTTGCACCACCCCCTCCACCCTCATAAATAGTGAACTGACTTAAGCTTTATATTCAACAGACAAAATGAGAGTAGTTTTAATCTTTTCATCTGACTCCTACTAAGGAGGCGCACAAAATGTCTAACTTTTCCTTTAAAGTACAATGCTCCGAAAGTAAAGGGTTTAAGTTCCATTTAATTAACTCGAGTTTAAAGTGTTAACAGTTTCTTTTTGAAGTTAGGCCAGAAATTGATTGTGTAAAGATGAAATGAGATACGTTCGATCTGGAATTTAATTTCCTGTGTAAGCAAAAGAAAACTATGGTGAACAACAGTAACTACATCAAATCTTTGAGTCAAACCAGCAGAGCACAGTTAGTGGCTGCTTCAAATCCAAGGTTGTTGTAAATAGAACCCCGTAGTATTTTTCATATACAATCCTCTTATGGACAGGGCTTCTGTATTAAAGTTTCATGGCAATATTACCTTTTGTTAATCTGATTAGACTACGGTTATGATTTTCTGCATCTCCTGGAACGCTGCTCACAATCCCAAGACAAGGGACATGGCGTGGTATGTGTCACGTGTGATCATTCAGCAGTGGTCATTTATAATACCCACCCTACCATGACTTTGAGTTGCTTTCCATCCATTTCTGTTTCTTTTGTACTCATTCAGCTTTCCCTGATTAAAAATCGGTTTGAAAGATTGTACTTAGTCTAGTCTGTCCCTATGCAGAATTTAAAAATGTAGCACTAGGTAGAAACACATGAGGTAACATGGCAACTCAGTATAAGCTTTAATCCCCACTCTTCTACCACAACAAATACACAACTAACCGCCCTTCTGAGGGCATATATAGGACAAGATAACATTAATCATATTCTTAATAACATGAGGTGGCGGGTGGAGGTCATGTGGCAGGTGGTGGGCCAAGACCATCTCCCAGGCGTCAATCAGATGAACATTCAGTCCTTTGAACATGAGTCTGAGCACCTTGTTACACTGCAGCGAGTGCCAGTCGCTGTTTGATAGTGACACAAGAAGTGGCAAATCTTTGGGATTTGCTGTCCGGATGATGACCACTGTGCCTGGAGCCCTGTCCAGCAGTCGCACCACCGCCCTGCGGATATTCTGCAGCCGCCGGATGTACACCTCCATGGGGAAAGTGCCAAAGTGAGCCCAGATGCCAAAAACTACAACAGTATTGGTGCCTCCAGTTATGTCATCTAGTTCATTGGCAATGTAACGAAGCTCCCTGTTGGGGACAGTGACAATACGGATAGGAGGACCGTGGAAGCGGTATTTTACGATGATGTTGTTTGCATAGTCCAAGGCCATGTAAGGTCCCGCTTTCTGTGGGCTGTGCAGGTCAAAGTCCTTAAGATCTAAAAGTATGAGAGGGAACAGATTAAGCTGCAGTGTGACCAAAATCAAACTGTTGCCAGAAATCCTTGTAGTTCAGCTACCTGGTAGAGTTTTGGTGAGGTATTCAAAAAACTGCCTGACAGTGGAGTCTCCAAACATGTGGACCACTTTGCCTTTCAGACACTGACTGATGGCAGAGGTGTTGAATTGGTGAACTGTGGTGCTTCCTAGTGCTCGCCATTCATCTTGATAGTAATAGCCGGAGGGTCCAGATGTCACATTGCTGCTCTTCACCTCTGGCTGACCTGAGAGGACATTAAAGGATAAGGGTGGGGTTATTTAGTGTATTTTTTATTGTCAACAAATCTTATGAAAAGTCCAAAACCAAGGTATAAAATGATTTGGACCTCTTATGGACTTTTAACCCAGTGCTCCATGCTCCCGGGGCTCTTCTCAAATTGGCCTAAATACATCTCTCTACAGGAAAACACTACCCAGAAGAAAGTAGTACATTTTTTCTTCCCTGTTTTACCTTAACTATAACAGGCAGAGGTGGCCGTTGTAAAAAATTGTGTATTACCTTCCTTTTTTGGCAACACAGTGACACTGGCAGGCCCTGAGGCCCGAATGAAGACTTTCGTGTTGACACCACTGGAAAAAAAAAAAGCAAACACGACAAAATATCTCAGACACACACTATAACATAAACAAAATAAATAAAAGAAAGGAGGACAAAATTCAGAAATATTTTATGGAGTTAATACTAGAACAATCAAGCACTAAAATGGAAGACAACGGCTTAAAAGTTCATTCAAGTTTTTGCAAAACTTAGCCTCTAAAAATCCTTTTTTTTAGTTGCACCAATGAATATTTTCATATAAACAATGACTACGTTCTAAAGTGCAAGGTGCAGCTGGCAGTGAAGAACTCGCTGATACTTATAACCCGAGTTTGCAGTTCGCCTCAGCTCAACAGAACATCACTGCATCTCTCAGCTCTTTGTTTTGTTTTGATGGCCTCAACTTTACTCAGCAATATATTGTATTAGGCACAGCAGGAAGCTGTTTCCATGCATAGATTTATAATAATACCTGGATATCAGATGCCAAGATGGCGCCTATGCATTCCAATTGAAGTTGCTTGCCTGCCGCATATGCTAAAGAAGCTTTTGGCTTCCAGGTTTACTTCCGCGGTATGCAGCCCACTGAATATGTGCAGTGGTGTTTCTCCTTCTGGCTCTGCTCGCCAGGTCCTGCGTGGGTCATAGACTTTACACTATGATGATGTCACAGATTTTAAAATAGATTTTTTTTTTTTGGCTCCAGGAATTTTTTACAAATATAAAGCCTTCATAGATCAAAAATTCAAGATAGAAAGTGTAATAATTAACCTTGTCCTATCAAAATGGTATTTGGGGCCCAGGGGATTTTTTTTTGCTGCAATACCACAAGTGGCCAGTGAAAAAAATTGACTGCAAGGCTGAGCAACGGCTCACCTTTGAAAGAGCTTCTCCTCTTTTTCCTTCAAGTGTTGTTTGTGTTCTCCCATGGCATGGTCGATCCTGGCATTGCAGCTCAACTGCTTTGGCTTGTAGCAGAACCAAGGCTCGCCTGTACGGAGGTCAGTGTAGTTGCACAGTGGCTGCTGGGTTGGACGTAGGCAGACATTACAGATGCTACTTTCAGAGAGTGAGCCTGAGCGGAAGAGGCTCTTGAAGTTAATCCTGTCAGGATGTTCTCTGGTCAGCCTGCGCAGCACTGTGATAGCCTCACTAGAGTGAACCAGCGTTACCTGAATGGATAGAGAACCAGAGTTTCCACTCAGTCATATCAATAAAGACAAATAAAGTGAACCCTATCTAAAGTAATAATATCAAAGATTTCAATTTAAATAGAGGTCTGTTAAGTCAATTGCTCCGTGAGGTAACACAATGGTGAATGAGCCTATGGCCCACTGATAAGAGTACTTAAATGTTTCTATATTTGCAGTATTATGACCAGAGCGACATAGTTAACACACACAGATTGGTGTCTGTGGTGACACTGGTGGGAAAAAAAATGCTGTATTGAGTTACTGCTAATGCAAACCAAACATTTTGTTCTGCTGAGGCTTCTCATTTAAAGCAGTTAACTGGCAAAAGTTGACTTTTATTATTAAGTAGTCACAGATAATGCAATGTGTTTATCAGTCAGTTTAGCACTTACCCCCAGGGGTAAGTTTTTTTGTCTGACTAGCCAATAAAACAGGTAGTTCAGCCCATTTGTATCTTTATTGGAATTTAGAATTTATCTCTTTGAGCAAGAGACGGGGTACATCCTGAACAGATCGCCAGACTATCACAGGGCTGACACATAGAGACAGACAACCATTCACACTCACATTCACACCTAGGGCCAATTTAGAGTCACCAATTAACCTGCATGTCTTTGGACTGTGGGAGGAAGCCAGAGTACCCAGAGAAAACCCATGCTGACATGGGGAGAACATACTCCGCACAGAGGGGCTCCCCCACCCTAGGTTTGAGCCCCCCACCGTGGGTTCAGACAGTGCTAACCACTACACCACCATGTCGCCATACATATATATATGTGTGTGTGTGTGAATAAACCGACACATAAAAATGAGCCCCACAACCCCTCTTCAATATATGTCTCCCTCAAATGTTAAAAAGAGACCTACACCCAATTTTACTTTCAATTACTAGAGCTACTGTTAGCTTTATTAGCTAGCTTAAACCAAAACTAAAAGTGACAGCTGACAAAATCTACAATTAACCAGTGGCTAGAAATGAGATCCTGCTTCTGTCTAAAATCAAATAGTCCTACTGTTTCTAAAATAACTAAGAATTTTGAGTGGTAAACCTGCCACTACTCTCATCACAAACTGCACATGTACCATGTGAGAAGTGAAAGTTAACAGGTGTATCAACCACAACAAAGGGGAAGGGGCTGGGTGAACAATCATCTATCCCTGAGCAAACTGATGACCCCTGAACAAATGGCATATTTTATGTATACTTCATATTATATTCAATGCACCAACACCTATTGTAGAGAACAACTGATAAACTGGACAGTTGAGCCAATTAAAGAACCCAATAACTGCAAGAAGTTAAACAATGATGTGGGTTAATTCTGATGAGATTATTTCCTGTAAATACTACATCAGAGATGAGTTTTCCTGATATTTTAGAGACTTTCTTATGTATGTTTGTATTTGTTCATTTTTTATACAATTAATCATACTTTTAAGACTTAATTTTTTTGACAAATTGAGTGTTTTCCTCTCCATTTCACGTGGCTATTGTTCTATTTGCTCTTGGGTTGTTTTAACAGCGTACTTTCCTGATGCAGGATGAGGCTGTTCAGCAGACACTGAAGTCTCTGAGAGTAAAGCTTGTCTTCATATCCTCACCACACCCTTCTGTGAGATGTATCTTAATTTTATATCTTGAACAACATTCTGAAATTTAAAAATGACAATTTAATTTGGTTTTGGTCACATACAGGGTCTGGGGAATATTTGGCCTACTGCACATATTTTTCAAAAGTTTTCATACACCTCTTAAAATCAAGAAGGCCCTGCAACCCATGACGCTTTGGCGACCGTAGTGGGGTTCATGACCCCAAGGCTGGGAACCAAGGATTTAGAAGACAGATTAAACACCTACAGTACAACCTCATTTAACATGATAGTTTTTTGCATCACCTCAACCTGCGCGTCTCCTTCCCAGAGTAAAGAGAATACAGCAGAGTAGCTCCCATTGAGATGATCCACCACTTGCCCAGCTACACCTGCACCAAGCTTCAGGCTGTGCAGCCGGGCGAGTAAGAAGTCCCCCCCAGACTTCTTGGGAAAACCCTGGAGGTCAGAAATTTTTATCATAACCTCCAGCTGATCCCCTACTTGCCACTGTCCTCCTCCCTTCCTTGGGAGAATGGTGAAGGTGCTGTGAGCTGGATCACTGGTATTCTCCAGGGAAACAGGAGCTGGCAAAGGTGGAGTTTCAGGCCAAGCAATGGAGTCTAGTAGGAGGCGTTCCTCCACAGCATCCTCAGTGGAGAGTGGCTGGAAGGTGCAGAAGCCGTGACTCTTGTTGAGGTCAGTGGAAACTCTCGGGATGATGACAGTGGTGTTCACTTTTTGGTGAAACTGCTAAGTGGTTGAAAGAAAGATGGTGACATAGTTGCATCAAACAAATGCACTGGAGCAAATTAACTACATAACACAAAAGTGCCAAGAAGCAGGATTTATCTTGGCCCAATGCCCAAAATGATATTGGGAAGGGAGCCCTAACCTTAACCAAAGAGCTTTTGTTGCCTGAATGGAAGACAGGAGTCTGGATGCGAGCCGAAGGATCTGGTGTCAAGGTCCCGCACATTGTATGTCTGAGTTGTCCCCAACCACCTCCTTGTGGAATCTGCGTGGTACATGAATTCAGTGTTTTGTAACCTAAAAGACACGTTGTCTCTAAACATAATCCAGGCAGCGATCAACAACGTTATAAAGAAAGCAGTTTATTAAAATACAAACGTAATTTGTAGGAGACAGGGTTGGTCGTGGGATATCTATGACTATCTATGACTATGTATTTGTGATCCATTTGTAAAGATGTATGTCCTCAGTAAAAATGGATGGGAACCAGTAGGTTGGAACACAGATGGTTTTGGTCTAAAGTCAAGAATAATGCCAGCCTTATCATTTTACTAGTGGAGCTGCTGTCAGCACATTAAGGTGCAGGATTGAAAGGAAGAATACCATTTAACTGCACTTATTTGCAATAAAGAACATTACTGTCACTGAGCCACATTGGAAAACACATTTCAAAACTATATACTGAAACCTAATATTCCAAACAGGGTCCACCCTTCAAATGGCCCCACTAAAACCAAGTGCTCACCTCCAGAATTTCCATGTTGTATAGCACATAGATAAGGACAGTCATAGCCAGAAACAGGAAGATGGCACCATAAGCTCTGGCTTTCATGGTAGTCGTCCTTTACGGCTGCTGCATAGCACTGTGACCACTTCCTCTGGCAGTGAGTCAAAAAATAAAAACATAAAGCAAAAGGTTAATTGACACAATGTTATGCTAAAGAATACTACTTGCTAAAACCTGTGAAATCCTGTCTTTGCAAAAGGTATACGCAAGCCCAGTGCACTTGTTAGGAAATGGTCATGTTGCTTAATCAACAACCAAGGCCAAAACCAAGCAAGTAGTTCAATATGTTTCATTCCCAGGTGACCTGATCACGTGCATTTGTATCATCGTGGAAAAATTTGAACAGGCTCTTTTCCAATCTGATAGCAAGCTTTGCAAGGTTAAACTCACAACAAGTTGCATAATATCTGTTTTCATACTCGTTACAGAGGTAGAGTTAGAGTATCCGGCACATATTCACCTACTTCCAACATGCATGGATGAAGGGAAAATTCTGAAGAGGTAAAACTCCAGCAACACTTGGGAGTATGCAGAACACCATGTGTCAGCTTGTGGCCTGACAAGCAATCTGGAAATATAAAAGACAAACAATCATATACTGTACAGCTACCCACATATCAGCCAATGGGGCACTTATAGATGGGTTGCATATTATGGTCGTGTGGCTTGAGGCCAGCTATGTCTGACATCATGTTGTCTTGCATCTGTCTCATTATTGTGAATGCAATATCTTAAGAAGGTTTTGAGGGAGTTTCCTCAAATTTGGCACATACGTCCATTTGGACTTAAGAATGAACTGAATGGAATTTGATGGTCAAAGGTCACTGTCACCTCACAAAACATGATTCTTGCCATAACTTACAAATTCATATGCTCATTATGCCAAAATTTTACACAAATGTCTACTAGGATATAATGATAAAGTGATGACATTTCATATCCGAAAGGTCAATGGTAGGTTTCACTGTGATATAATGTTCTGCAAAAGCACTTTTCTGGCCATTACTCAATGTCGTAACTTGTTAGCAGGATATCACTTTCACAAAAATGAGAAGGACACAAGGTCACAGTGACCTTGACCTTTGACCACCAAATTCTAGTCAGTTCATTCTTGAGTCCAAGAAGATGCTTGTGGCAAAAAATTGAGGAAATTCCCTCACGGTGTTATTGAGATACTGCATTCACAAGAATGAGACGGACAAGGTCACAATGATTTTGACCTTTGACTACCAAGATCTAATCAGTTTATTCTCCAGTCCGAGTGGATGTTGGTTTCAACATTTTTGGAAATTGTTTCAAGGCCTTATTGAGATATCGGGTGGTGCAGCTACTCGTCTGTCCCACCTCCATCCCTCCTACCTGCGCAAGTTGGAAAGAGGGAGGAGAGAAGGCATGGAGTGGGTTTTACACACATCACACCAATCAAATGAGCCCCTCTCCTCGCCCTTAAATGCGCTGCGCGAAGGCGTAATGAGAGTTTATTCAATTCGCCATGGCAGAAGAGAGCAGCAGCATCAGACGGCCAAACTTCTCCCAGGAAGAAACTTATGTTTTGGTCCAGGAGGTCTGCTCGCAGTGTCCGAATATACGGAACTGCGAGCAGACCTCCACGGGCTGATGATGCAAAGGTTGCCTGGGAGGAGGTCACCACAATTGTAAATCAATGTTGCGTTTCTCTCGTGCGTGCATGCACGCGCTCTTTCTTTCTCTCTCGCAGCCTCACTCTATTTCTTTTCTTTTGACTTTTCTAAGATGACAGATGCTGAATATATACTCCCTATCTGATGCTGTGGCTGTTTGTGGTTGGCTGAGAGGGATGTGAACTCATTAGTTTGCAGCTGTGTTAATCAAATCAGGTTGGGTTTCCATTACGCGTGCCAAATGTGCCAAACGGTGCCAGTCCCCTTTGATCTGATATTAGATGTGATGGGACAGTCGATATAGAGATACATTTAAGTGCTGATTGCAGATAGTTGCATTGAATAGTGTTTTTTTGGGTATTTATTGCATCGTTAATATGCCTGATATTCTGGAAACCTGCCTGTGAGGTTTTGGTAACGTGCGCACTGTCCGCCGGTCAGCCAAACTTCGGCTTACACCGGCTGCGCACCATCTGCGCTGACGGTAGACATGGTTTCAGAAGGAAAGCATTTAGCACAACTTAGGAAAAGCCTTTTGGCACGAAACTGTCACTGCGCCAAGCTGGATCTGTCGACACCTCCCCCTGCTGCGCCGCCACACCCATCTCAGCGCACCTCGGTCTGCCAAACTACCAAACGGAGCGCTCCTCGGGTTGCGCTGCTCGAAATTAGCTCTGCGCGGGGTTCACCACCCTGCACCACCCTGCGCCGCGCCGGAAACTACAGCCCATCATGTTCACAAGAATGAGACAGATGCAAGGTCACAATGATCTTGACCTCTGACCTCCATATTCTAATGAATTCATCCTTGAGTCAGTGTGGACTTGTGGAGCAGGGGCTAAATTAGAAAACTGTTATTAGACTATATTCTGGCATCTAAGTATCTGAAGTTACATTTTAATCACTCTCTATCACAGCTGGCAGTTGCCTGGCTCTGTGGGGCTGGCTCCAGGTTGACAGAAGGATGAACACTGATGCCTGACTTTAATTTATCTAAAACTACTCTTTTGTTTTATTTTATTTTATTTTATTTCACTTTACTTAATTTTAATTTGATTTTATTTTAACACTGACAAACTAAAGCGTGTTTAGATCAATTATCATTAAACATCATTAAAAATAAATAACTTAACTCTGCAGCAGTGTAAATATTTAAGTACTAGTAGCCTAGACGGTTATTAAATTTTAACACCTTTGTCCGGCTCAGACACAGGTGGTGCGTCTGTGTCTCCTTTGCCACTTGTTATGTCAGAAAAGGAAGCAGACCCAACACGTGCGGCCACACACTCCGCAGCAATAAGCTTTTATATGAATAGGCTACTATAACAATATCAGAACTATGTAACATATAGGCGACATATATTATTGGCTATATCATGCATATTATCAACATGCATGCTGTAGGTTTGTACATGTCATGGATGGATAAATTAAATATTCTACCTTCAAATTTCAACTGTCTGCTGCAACACTGACTGTGTTTACAAGGTCTTTAGTATCCCGGTTTTGATTGAGTTTTTTAAGTATCCCGTTTTTGTGTTTGTGCATGTAAACACCATATCCCGAATTCAGAAACCGGGTTATGCCCTTTTCCCGGTTTCAAGAAACCTGGTTTTGCCACCTGGAGTACTCCGATAGAAGCCGGGATACTGGAGCATGTATACGCCTTATCCCGGTTTCATGAATGGTTCAACTACGTCACACAGCCGGCTGAAGGATGCCCTACTCATTCTGAAGTTTTCTCTCCACTCTGAATCTGTAAACTCCATGAGAACGATCCTATCCCACCAGTCACGGCTACGTATTTTTAATCCACTGTTGCCTTGTACTGCGTGGTGGCAGTGACAGCCAAATACCTATCAAAGTTGGTGACGTATTCAATATTTGTTGTCGCTCTCTCCTTCCATTGCTGAAGATGAAGTGGATGAGCCATAGCTGTAATGCGACGTGAGTATTTACTAACACTAAGCCCGCTAGAAGCCACAGAGGTCTCATTTTTGTCTTACTTCTAAATATAATAAATATATCACATTTTCCGCTCAATCTGTTGTAAACAAAAGACGTAAAAGACGAAACACACGCCTGCGCAGATAGGATGCAGTGATCAGAAAACGGGTTACTAGTATTTAACATGTATACAGGGATATGAATAACCAGGTTTCTCTGTGTTCCATGTAAACATCATATCCCGGATATGCTCAAAGCCGGGATAAGCCTCAAAACTGGGATACTAAAGACTTTGTAAACACAGTCACTGTTGACCACAGCAGTTTTCTTTCTATACTTCAGTTTTTTTACTTTTATGTCTCTCTTCAGGCTGCTAGAAACAATTGGTTAAACTGGACATGAGACATCAGCATTTCCATTTCTAGCTCAGAGAAGTTTTTCTTCTTGGCTGTATTATGCCTCTCCATGTGGTAAACTCTAGGGGCGAGGCCTTTAAACCAAGAATATACTGGAGCTGAATATGTAAATGAAGATTGTTTCCATTTATCAACTCCCTATCATTCCTGCACTGTGATTGGGAAATAAGATTGTTTCAACAGCAAACCCTATGGTAAGACAATTTTTGTGCTTGGATCAGCGCTGTTTTGTGCATTTATTTGATAAATGAGGGCCATTGTGTTTTTAGGTGGTCAATCCTATTCTCGTGTATGCAGTATCTTAAGAATTCCTTGAGGGAATGTCTTTAAATTTGGCAAAAACATCCACTTTGAGTTAATAATAAACTGATAAGAATTTGGCGGTTAGAGATCAAGGTCATTGTGACCTTACACCAGACTCATTCTCATAAATACAATATCTCAGTAAGGCCTTAAGGGAATTTCCTCAAATTTGGCACTGGACTCAAGATTACACTGTTTACAATTTAATGGTCAAAGGTCACTGTGACCTCACAAAACATACTTTTAGCCATAACTCAAGAGTTCATATGCAAATTAGGACAGAATTTCACACAAATGTCTATAAAATGATGAAGTGATGGCATATATTCAAAAGGTCAAAGGCCAGTCTCACAATGACATCATAATGTTATGCAAAAACACATAGCCATCATTCAACATCATAATTCAAGAACAGAAGGGGGTCATTGGGTCAAATACTGAATTGGTGACACTAATCTTGGGTGTCCACCTTGAAACTGGGAGAAAGATGTGTGTGACTCATTCATGTTTTCACAGACATGGATATAACCTGTAACAACTTGATTGGTTCGCAGAGGCACACAAACACAGGGTGGTAATTCTAGGTTTGGTTTTTTTGGATGTTACTTTTGTATGTTGTTGTTGTTCTTACAGCAATATCATCAGAAATGGAATTTCAACCCTAATGGGTGCTGACTAAAACCTCCTGCACATACAACAACAATAAGCCCTGGTTTACAGTAAAACATAGGCAGCTTTGGCCAAGGAGGACGCCCACAGAGGTGGGGACAGACTTCTGTACAAACAGGCCAGAAACTCACTGACAAAGGAGATCAGACAATCAGAGAAGTAAAGAGGTGCTTCTCTGAATAGCTGAAAAACAGGTTTTCAGAAAATGACCTGCCATCAATGACTGTGTTTACAAGGTCTTTAGTATCTTTAGTATTTTTGTATTTAGTATTTAGTATTTAGTATTTTTGAGGCTTATCCCGGTTTTGAGCATATCCGGGATATGATGTTTCCATGGAACACAGAGAAACCCGGTTATTCATATGCCTGTATACATGATAAATACCAGTATCTCGTTTTCTGATCACTGCATCCTATCTGCGCAGGCGTGTGTTATGTATTTTACGTCTTTTGTTTACAACAGATTGAGCGGAAAATGTGATATATTTATTATATTTAGAAGTAAGACAAAAATGAGACCTCTGTGGCTTCTAGCAGGCTTAGCGTTAGTAAATACTCACGTCGCATTACAGCTATGGCTCATCCACTTCATTTTCAGCAATGGGAGGAGAGAGCGACAACAAATATTGAATACGACACCAACTTTGATAGGTATTCGGCTGTCACTGCCACCATGCAGTACAAGGCCGCCATGTTGCTTGTACAGTACAGGCCAAAAGTTTGGACACACCTTCTCATTCAATGCGTTTTCTTTATTTTCATGACTATTTACATTGTAGATTCTCACTGAAGGCATCAAAACTATGAATGGACACATGTGGAGTTATGTACTTAACAAAAAAACAGGTGAAATAACTGAAAACATGTTTTATATTCTAGTTTCTTCAAAATAGCCACCCTTTGCTCTGATTACTGCTTTGCACACTCTTGGCATTCTCTCCATGAGCTTCAAGAGGTAGTCACCTGAAATGGTTTCCACTTCACAGGTGTGCCTTATCAGGGTTAATTAGTGGAATTTCTTGCTTTATCAATGGGGTTGGGACCATCAGTTGTGTTGTGCAGAAGTCAGGTTAATACACAGCCGACAGCCCTATTGGACAACTGTTAAAATTCATATTATGGCAAGAACCAATCAGCTAACTAAAGAAAAA